TTTTTTTATTTTTCCCCGTTTTCTTAAGTCGTCTCGTGTAATGTCAGGTAATAGTGTGGTCTGATGAACTGTGCTGCATCGAATTGTTTGCTGCTGGATTGTTTGCTCTCAAATCTATGAATTGATCTTCGGCCTAGGGCATCCTGGCCACTCCCGGTTCTCCCGGAACAGCTCAGACGAACTTGTCTTCATTGCTTGTTCTCTGAGTGGAGAACTACAAATATATAAATAATGACTGGTGCTGAAAAATTTGACTCTAAGAGGCAAAAATTGCCTCCGAGTAGTAAAAAGTGCTTTGGAAGGAACGGGTTAAAATAATTTTTTGTAAAATTAAGATATGAAAAAACATGAGGGGAGGGGGATCTGCGACGAAACTCCTGATCCACTGTTACGTTGTTTAATTGGGTCTTCCCTCTCTCTCTCGCGCACTGGCCTGAATTCTCTGGTGTGCTGCTGTATTTTCATTTAAGGTATATTTTCATCGATTTCATCTCCCCAATATTTGTTATTTCTTGCATCTTTTTCATTGGATCGCGTGTTCTCGATTTGCTGGCGAAATAAAGGCTACTTCGGCCTCTGCTTGTTGCACTGTACTTTCCAAAAAAAAAGTAATCCTCTCGATGCTTTTATCTTGCATAACGCAGCTACTTGTTTTTTTCATGCATCACGAAACCGGACTTAGCGGTACTTAACTGAAAACGGATTACAGCACACTGGATGGGAATGTATGCAAGTTAATAGACCGAAACACTCGAATCCAGTTTTATTATTTTCACTTTTACTTTTTACTTTTTAGTTACAACCTTTTTCATAACTATAAAATATTTAAATTACAGACTCTCTGGGACAGTTTTATTCGTTCTGAAATTATTTGGTACACTGTACTGATGAGGGGCACTGTACTGATGATTCTCACCCCATTTCGCGTCATTTTAGTCATCTGTTTACAGTTTAGGAATGAAACAGACGTCGCCCAATGCGAATACCGGCTAGCTTAAATGAGACTGCAAAATTTGGCCCCTTTTCAAGATATTAAATGTACATATACGACTATTCTATTCTCTTTTTTCTTAGGGCGTTCGCTCAACTACGCTACACCTCTAGACACATGACGTGCCCTTGCCTTATACTTCCTTCCAACCCCAATTTTACTTCATTTATTATGTCATTGCACTTTGCCAGCAGTAATGCTGCTCTTTCCAATACTTACTGAATTTCGTTCATTCAACTTGGATCTCACGAATTTCTATTGATGAATGGGAAGCAATTGGTCATGCTGTAATAT